AACCGCATCCTTAGTGCTGCGCGCAACACGAAGGATCCTGTATCGGGAACCAAGATCTGCTATATATTCGACAAGGCTCTGTTCAAGTAACGTGTCTTGTTGATTCCATTGAGTTGTCAAGTCTCCCATTGGCTTCAGTGAAGACCGTTCGCGAAGTTGAGGGGCTTCTGTCTCATCGCATGATGTCAGGTATGATTTGGAAGAAGCCGTTGTGAAGGATTACTATAACATAATAAAGGAGCCGATGGATCTTGGTGTCGTTAAAAAGCGTATCCCGTTGTACCCGAACCCCGAAGAGTTCAAGAAAGATATGGATCAGATTTTTCACAACTGTTTACTCTACAATAAGTAAGTATCTTCCACTGGTCTGCAGTAGGACGCTATATGGACTCTATCAGGGTTGGTTCCGATGCGTACGGTATGGGTGTTGACGTACAGAAGTCGTATATTGCCGCATGGTGAGGATCTATCGAGTGTAGGAGTCATTTTGTTACCGTTCAAACAGGGACGCGAACTATGAGTCGCTTATGGCGGCTTTTAATACCTCTCTCGACTCGAGCGAGCAAGAGGAGCTCTTGAAAGAATACCAAATTAATCGGGTGATGCCAGAGCTTCCACAATTCGAGGAGCCTGTTCGGAAGGTGAGCTGTTACAGACGAGAGGTTTCAAAGGCATTCAGCGTGTATATGTCACAGACCTCCTCGCGTAAGCAACATGAAGCTGAGAAGAACCAGCGGTCGGCGGCATCCGAGAAGGCCGCATCTTCCGTGGTGGAGGAAAAGCCCGTCTCGAAGGCGAGAGGGGGTGGCAGGAAATCAAGCAAGGGCTCCAAGAAGGAGGCTAGTTCATCACAAGTTGAAGCCAAGGAAGAAGTCGCTGTACCTAATACTGCGAAGGTGAGCTGTTTTCATTGCGTTGATGATCGGGATGGTATGCTTGTCAGACCGCGACGAGAGCCAAGGCCAGCAATAAGCCCGTCAGTGGGGTGATTGTCGGTCGGGGGTGGACGCCGACCTATTCAGTCGACTCTAACGCTCTTCGGAAGATCGAGTTGCGCAACACTCGGCATCGAAGTCGAACTCTTCCACCGCTGCGTTCGACAGTGGAACCTGAAGTCGTTGA